GATAGTCAGAAAAAGAAGTATACTTTCTCATAGATGCTCGGACAGCTTATTAACGATTATCCTTTGTCAAAGAAGCTTATAGATCATATTAAGAATGTAAAGAATTACGGAGAAGTCGACCAAAAAAAAGAAGATGAAGATGAAGATGATGATATCAATATAGAAGGCGATAATATTGAATAACTTTTATTGAACATAAAATCGAACTTCAAAAACCATTAAATTCAATTTCAATTGTTTTTTTTTTAATTTAAATGATTAAAATAGAAAATAATTTTATGTTTCAAAATTTCGTTGTTTTAAATTTGAAAAATTTACTGATAACAGTTTTAATAAAATGTATACATTCAGGTTTACTTTTAACTAGCTGGAAGTCATTGAGTTCACTAAATATTGAATTTCACTATTTCTATTTAATGATCTGCAATGTGTTGAGTGCGCTAAACTAGTACGTTTCTGTTTCTTCTTAATTAACAGCAAGTTGTCGAGTTCGCTAGATATAATTATCATTACGAATGTCATGAGTTTTTTTTTCTTTGAACTTGAATCCACGATCTAATATTCATTGTAACATGGTATCAAAAATCGAATAGACACAAACTAATAGAGATGCAAGAATATTTATATACGAAAATAAAAAACATAGAAAATGATGTTCAAAAAGAGATGGCTTTGAAATATAAGTGTTGATGAGTATCTTCTCTTCAACCCTTCCTTCTTCTCCATCCATTTTCTTAGCTAAGCCCAAATCGACGACTCTTGCTCGTACATTGTGAATTTCTAAAAAATACAGCAGTTCTACTAAGTTGAAAAGCTATCTTCGAACAAAAACTTGCGTCCCGTACAAATTACAGTATCTTTTCGTCAGAACAAAAAGATAAATTTTTATTAAAATTTTTCAAAATGATTTATTTCCTTATAGACATTCTCATTGATTAAATCTTTAAGATATTATTTTATGTCACACTTTTTTTGCACACATATTTTCTTTTAAGCTTTTATAAATTCACTTTCATGAATTTATGAGTCATATTATACCATTCTATAGTATATAGTTTTCTCTAGTAAACATTCAAGTATGATAGTCAAATATAATAAAAATACGTTTCAGAAGATATGATTGAAAACAAAAAAAAACCATTCGTTAACTGGAATTCGAGGCCAAAGGACTATAATCATAATTATATTATTACTCCATAAACGAATACTTATATTAATTATTCATTTTATTTTATTTAAGAAAAAAAAAGGAGAAGAATAAGAAGAAAAGTCTTATTTGTTTATTATAATGAACTTCTTACACACACACCGGACTTATAGTTTTTTTGTTTTTCGTATATGTACATATAAAAATAGACCTTCATTATTCATTGTAATCGTCATATACATTGTCATTGTTATCGTCGATTTTTGACTAGAAGTAAAGAAAAAAAAGGAAAGAAACGAATTATATTTGTTCGATATCTAATAAAGAAAAGCCACATGCAAGAAATCTACGGTGATACTGAAGTGATATTTAGAGATTCAGTAGAAGATTTAATCGTGCTAGAATCATATTCAATTTGAATCGTAGAAGTTTGATTATGTGCGATTAATGTCGATTGAATCGAACTAAACGATTTATCGATATTTTTCGGAGTTGTTTCAATTGAATGTATATTTAATGAAGAACTTTCAGTAGAAATTATATCTTTCAATGAAGAATAATCAGATGAAGAAGACAGAGTTGTTGACAATTGATTTAATTTATCTAAATATATAAATAAGAAAAACCAATTAATGATTTTTAAACTTTAAATGTATCGAATTGTATTTACCTGTATGGTTAATATTTGACGTAGTTATCATGTCATTTGAAAATGATCCAAAAGATGAGATAGAATCATTAAATGACACAGTATTTGTTGTTGTTAATGTTGGATAAATAGTTGAAGAATATGTTGTTGTAGAACTGAATGTATTGGATAATGTCGATTGATTGATCGACAATTGTAAATTTTCTGTTGATATTCGTTCTATTGTGTCTGATGTGGCAGATGCAATGGTTGATGTGAAGTGTTGATTAGCTTTTTCAGAAGTGAAAGATGAAGTTAGGGTTTGATCAGTAGCGGATTCCGAAGAAGTTTGAGTAGATGTTTGACCGAATGTGGAGGAAAGCAGTTTTTCAGAATCTGTTGTGGTTATATCGAAATGTTCTGTTATTTGTTTTGATGAAGATTGATCGTTGAAGTTTGTTGTTAAATCAAAATTTTGTTTCATTGTTAATGTATTAAGATCTTGTTGTGATTGTGAACTTAATAGTTGATTGGAAAATTGAATTAATGTCGATGGTGAGTTGGTTGATTCAGTTACATCATTAGAAATAGTGTTTGTAATATTAGATAATGATTCTGTAATTAATACTGAAGTAAATCTTGATTCTGTATTATCGAGTAATTTTGTGGTTTCTACTAATGAATCAATTGATGATGAATATGTAGGTGATGTGATATCATTTAATGTTGATGTTTGAGTTTTTGACGAACTTAAATCAGTCTGTGAACTGATTGTTGTTGATAATTGAAGTGATAATAAATCATTAGTGGATATTTGATTGGCGGAAATCGTTTCGGTAGTATAATGGATATTTTCTGTTGTGAAATCTGAATGACTTTGAGATGAAGAAATTATTTGTTGATCAATGTACGAACTACTCGTTATTTCATGATCGCTACTTGATGATAATGTTTGGAAACTTGAAAGTTGATCTTTTGTCACATTTGGAAAGTCTTCTGTTGTTGAGGAATCACTTGTAGTGCTTGTAGAATGTGATATATTTGAGGTAGATAGTTCCACTGGTGATATTGAGGTTGTACTATCAATATGAATTAATGGATTCGTATATGGCGAGAGTGACAATGGCGTTTCATCAGTAGATGAGGATGAAACAAACGAACTAATAGAAATTGTTTCTTGTTGCGTGATTTGATTTACATGTTGATTGAAAGTTGTCGAATAAATAGGTGTGGCAGTATAAGCATCCATTTTTTCGTTAGTAGATTCCGTGAATTCTGATAATGTCGAATGATCAAGTGAATATTCTGAACTTGACGCTGATTGTCTTATATCCGACAATGATGTTTTCATTTCAGAATTACTTAGTGAAGATACAATGATTGAGTTTGTACTCATAGACTCTTCGTCAGTAACCCTATACAAAGATGAAGACAAGATCGAATCGTTCATGCTTGGTGTGGTTGTCATAATATAAGCTTCATTTTGAGATACAAAAGATGTTAAGTTGTCGGTAGATTGTGAAGTAAAATGTAGAGAATTTGACGAAGTTATTGGTGTCATCGTGTTCAATTCAATTGTAGAGTCTGTTTCCTTAGATAGTATTGAAACTGTTGGTGATCGTGTTTCCCTATTAGTTGCGAACTGTGATGATTGCGCATTTAAAGTGGTTTGAGTAGTACTTATACTATTCTGCATGTTCATGTCTGCAGTAGATGAGACCGCACTTGAAGTTGAAAGGATCGATGAAATACTACTTGATTGATGGAATGAGTTACTAATAGGATTTGTTATGAAGACATCATCTGTTGATGTTTCCAATTCATTTTCAATTAAGCTCGACATAGCTTCCGTGGTTGTGATTGAATTTATTGTTGTAGCATCAAATATTCGTGATGAATCGGTTTCACTAGATAAGACCGAGACTCTTTCAGAGCTGCTCAGTTTTGTATTAGTTGACGGCGTCGTTTCCATAGCGGTAGTGACATTGCTTGGTAATATTGATGCCGGTATGCCAGGCTGATCAGTAGTCGTATTGGGTATTGTAATAGTTGATGTTTCGTCTACCATATTCAATGTAGTGCTGAAGAGATATGGAGAAGAATCTAAAGAAGTTATGCCAATATTTGAGTTGTCTAACAAGGAGGAAGTTATTGTAGCAGATTCTAATCGTGTAGTATCTTGTGCAGTAGATGACATTGTAGTAGTATCGGTTGTTTGATCAATGTTTGTATATGATACCGTTTGACCGTTTGTCATTGTGTTTGACGACGTTTCAGTTAGCGTTCGAGTAGGACTCGAAGAAGATGTAGATGATGTTACCTCTTCCGTTATATATTCTGTAGTAGATTGTAGTTGATTTTGAGATGTTTTCCAATTATTCTCAGTAGTTTCAGAGCTTTCTGCAGGTGATGAAGTAACAGTCGAGAAACCTGTTGTAAGAGTAACGGTGTCCGTCAACCGTGATGTCGTGTCCTCAACAGTTGTGACTGAAGATGCTAATAAAGTTGATCCATTTTGTGCAACATTAGTAGAATTTTCAATTGATGTTACCGAAGGAACAGTGATGTCATCAATTGTAGACATTTTATTTGTGTTTTGAAGAGTAGAAGTTGTCTGCTGATCAGAAATCTTCGAAGTGTCATCAAAAGCATTGGTTAAAGTTACAAATGTAGTTTCACTCGTGTAAGTAGTGATTTGTTCTGATAATGAAGATTCAACAGAAGTTGATACAAGTTCGGTGACGTTATGAGAAACAGTTGATTTATCTTGATTGGTTGTTGCATCTGCTCTGGTAGACAATACAGTAGAACTACTTGTGATCGTTGATTGAATATCGAAATCGGTAGAAACTACTTCTAAATTTGTTGTTTGATGTACAGTATGAGATGTTGATGATAAGTTGTCTTGAAACACTTCTTGAGTACTTGTAATATCAATGATATTATTAGTTGATGTTGGTGTTATAGTGAGAGTGTTGGACACATTATCTGAAGATGTTAATAACGACGATTTCATTACTGTGTTCGTAGTAGGTACGATCGATGTGACAAATATATTGTTATTATCAACTGCAGTTGAGAAAACACTATTTGTTTGCATTATTGTTTGCTTAGTATCAGTTTCTAAATTTTGACGACTCATTCCTGTGGATGTTAGATATTTATCATTAATAGTTGTTGATTGTGTTATTAATGGATCAGTAATCTTGTTTGTATATTCTGAGGATAAAGGTAATGAACTTTCAGTAAAAGTTGAAATATGTTCCAAAGTAGAAGACAACGTAGATGTGAAAGTGGTAGATACGTCGTTTGAATTTGTGACAAATGAAGACAATGTTGATAATGTATTAGTAACTTCGCCATTCGGTGATACAGAAGAGGTTAGGTTATTAGTAGATTGTGAAGTGAAATGTGTAGAATTCGATGGAGTTAGTGATGTCATTGTACTGAAGTCAATTGTAGTGTCGGTTTCTTTAGATAATATTGAAAGCGTTGACGATCGTGCTTCGCTAGTAGTTGTGAACTGTGATGATTGCGCATTTATAGTGGCTTGAGTAGTACTTATAATATCCTGCATGTTCATGTCTCCAGTAGATGAGACTGTGCTTGAAGTTGAAAGAATCGATGAAATACTACTTGATTGATCGAATGCGTTACTAATAGGACTTGTCGTGAATACATCACCTGTTGATGTTTCCAATTGATTTTCAATTGAGCTCGATATAGCTCCC